TACAGGGATGATCAGGGGCCTGGAACATCTGCCCTATGAGGAGAGGCTGAGGGGGCTGGGCCTGTTCAGCCTGGAGAAGGGAAGGCTGAGAGGGGATCTAATCAGTGTCTATAAGTACCTCAAGGGAGGGAGTGCAGAGGATGGTGCTGGTCTCTTTTCAGTGGTGGCCACTGATAGGACTAGAGGGAATGGCCGGAAACTGAAACATCAAAAATCTCATAGGAACTTAAGGAAAAATTTCTTAACAGTGAGGGTGACAGAGCACTGGAACAGGCTGCCCAGAGAGGTTGTGGAGTCTCCTTCTCTGGAGATCTTCAAAACCCGCTTGGATGCAGTCCTGTGCCACGTGCTCTAGGTGACCCTGCGTATGCTGGGGGGTTGGACTAGAAGATCTCTAGAGGTCCCTTCCAACCCTAAGCATTCTATGATTCTAAGTCTATATCTCCTGGGTGTGAGAAAAAGGACAAGAAGGACTTTATGCAGTCACTTCTGCTCTAATGTGTATAGCCCTTATCTTTGGGTCTTTGCTGTAATGTTAGTGCAGCCTTACTCTAGGCTCTTGCTGGGCTGCCTTGTTGTTGTCAGGTGGGCCATAACAGGTGTCCAAGATTAGATCTTCTGCTGTAACCAAGAGCTCCCTCATAAGAGAGCTCTTAGTCTGACTCTCTTAGTAAGACCTCTACCTCATTGCAGAACTGCTATTACTAAGGTGCTTTGTAGATCCTCTTTAAAAACTACCGCTTGACTAATTCCTGTCAAACCTGCATTAAATTGCATCTTAGAGGAAAAAGTAATTAACAAGAAAATTGATTAAGCACTTAGGGGGTCTCCCCCTATTTTTCATTAGGGAATACAATTGGGTCAAACAGAAATATGTCAAACCCCCTTCAGAACATGTATGAGCTGTTGCTGAATACTCTGCTTACAGCTTCTGCTCAGCCTGTTATGCTCTTTCTAACATTTCATTTGCTTAAAGGCAGGATGTAAAGGGGGGTCTGAAGTAAAGATGTGATACTTGCTTTTCTTCCCTGACTACTGGGCCTACATGCAGAAGAATGAATTTTAGTCAGTCAAAGATTGTATTTTTTTTTTAAGTGTAAGCTTTTAAAAAAAAAAAAAAAAAAAGTTGCAGTAGACCCATTTTGTATTTTAAGGACAAATTTGAGACAAGGCAGCACTTCTGGTCTAAATCATTTAGGCATCCACACCTGACATCTCCTGCTTTTATTTATCCACTGTGCTGAGGTGTGGTAAGTCTAGAAATTCAGTACAGCAGTAACTAGAGTCAAATATCAGACTGTTCCAAAGCTAAAATTCTTCCCTGAATGACAACTGCCTTTAAGAATACATTACACATGAGTGTTTGCTAAAGTAACTAGCTGCAGTTGCAGTAAGTGTCATATGCTTATAATAAAGACATTAAAACTGAAAGAACAAGTACCTCCCACACCCCTGTAAGAAACCTGTGGTAGATGTTGAGAGTCCTACTATGACCAGGCACTCCACAGCAGGGGAGCCTGAATAGGTCCTGGCAGTTGGAATAGAAGACCAGCTTCCTTGAGGATTTATAGTGAATCTGCAACATCATCAGTCCATTCTTCCTAGCAGAAGAAAAGAAAGAACCATTAGGTGGGCCACACAGTAAATAGCTACACATACATGCTACCGCTGCACACTATCTAGTAAAAACTTCTGCACCTGACAGTTACTGATTAAATTGTTAAAATTCTTCATAGGGGTATCTTTCAACCTCAGCTACTATTACTAACAAATATTTAAGTAGTAAACTTGAACTACTTTTAATCATACTGCAAGATTGCTTTGTCCTAATCCAGCTTACTTGACACTCCTATTTGCAGGGGGACTTCTGGAGGAAAGGTGGAGAGCAGGGCCTGTGTTGTATTACACACCTACTCTCTTAATGCTGCTAATGAGGAAGCAACATGGACAAGAGCTCTAAGTGGACATGAAGTCTAATACATCCTGCGCTAAGATGCACTAGCACTCTAATGCTCTCAACTCTAATGAATGAGATAAAATTCCTACTAAGCACATCAGGAGAATCTGAAAGGGAGCCTGACTTAAGGCCGCATGGCCAACAATTGCTGAAGAACTTAGAGGATGTTCCCTCCCACATCTATCTGTGAGCACAGCATAATAATCTTTATGCTTTCCCTAGCTAGTTGTAAAACTCCAATTAAGTGCCTTAGGTATTATGCTCAATACTAGGGGAAAGAAAAAGAAACAATTTAGCCAAGTAAACGTAGCAGAAGGAAGATTTTATTCTCAGCTAATAGTAGCTCATCCCAGAGCACAGGATTGAAATGGATCTAACTCATTAAAGGGGTCTAACTTCTTGCTCCTACAACTCTGTCCTCAT